AGAGAGACTGAAAGGAGTGAAAAGGGGAAAGGGCATGCACACTTTTACCAAGTCATGTCTGCAGTGATTGAAATGAACAAATAATATTTGTTTTGCTTCCACCACCACTGTATTACTCCTCTTTTAGCCAATAAAAAAACCTATAAACCTCTTAAGGACCACCATCAGCCCTCTCCTGCACATCGTTATTCCCTCTGTTACAATTAAATCCCTTTACTGTATAGCCATGTCTGCTATCACTCTCTCCACATTTTACACTCCCCCACACCCTTCCACTTCTCAGCATCTTCTCATTCATCTAGCCCATGTGTCTCCATCCACCTCCATCCTCATGCTACAGTACTCAGTTGCTCATTTCTGTCATTTTACCCATAACCTTCCCTTTACTCTGTCTTTGTTCGAATATATTTCCTCTCTACCTCCCCCTCCACATATAGTTCTCACCATCTCCCACCAGCTGCAGTAGGGCCAAGTCAAGAGGACGTTTCCAGCGTGAGTTTTTGTGCAGGGCGATACCGTAGCCTGTGGTGGCAAAAACCTTCCCCGAGCCTATGGTCATCACCTTGGAAAAAAGGACAATGTGAAGATATTTTAAAAAATGACCAAGAGGCAAACATATTTGTCAGATCCACAGTGCCTATGTGGGTTAATCCTCACCTTACAACCTTCGTCCTTCCTGGCCATATAGTTCAGTACTGCAGCATCATAAATAAAAGCATCCAGTTTTCTGTAAATAGATCAGGGGGGAATTCATTCATCATTTAAGGGCAGAGAGGGAGCAGATGGATGCAGAGACTGACTGAGGCAGGGGAGGAGGTATAAAGGTGGATCTTGGCGATGTACCTGGGATGAGAGTTGGGGAGCAAAAATATACTGCAGAGAGGTGCACAGAATGATAAAGGGAACATGAAAAGTTAAACCATAACACAAAAGGGGAGGAAAGGTGGAATAGTAAAGCAGGTTTGGCAGAAAGAGTAAAAACACAAGGAGGATAAAATAAGGCAAAGATCAGGGAAAGATGTGTGAGTAAGAGGGAGTAGTAAGGTGGTGGTGGTGGTGCTGGGGATTTATGCAGTGTGAAGAGCGCAGTGACAGGGGAAGAGAGGAGGATCACACTTCAGAGGGAAAAGACACGGGATAGAGCCAGAGAGGATTATAAAGTTTAAATACAGACACACCAAGAAAGCACACTGGTAGGGGAAGAATGGACCAAAAAAGTGAAGGAGAAAGGAAAGAAATGGTAAGCAGATGAGGAGTGAGAGGAAGGGAGAGATAAGCACTAATGACCAGGGAAAAAACCACAGCAGGAGAAGAGCAGGAGTTTCTCACTTCTGTGCAAGTTAACAATAAATGATAATTCTGGTGTCAAAGCAACAGGGAGGGGGGACTGATGACAGCGGCTCAGAATAAAGTAAACTGGGATTATTCGACATATGACAGGTGATAGAGATTCCACTAGAAAACGAAGCGGAAAATGCAGTTTGCACTTTGTGGGTGGGTGGAGATGGCATGTGAAGGTGGAGAGAGAGTAAAGGTGGAAGAATCTGTGCAGGGAAGTAGGAGGTGCGACAAAAGATGTGAAATGTTAGTCACAGTCGAAAAGAATGCCACCGTGTATGATGGTCTACTAGTGCCAGAGTGAGAACATTACAAACTTGCAACAAAGAATGACAGACTCTGCCGTCAACAAAAATATTAATAACCTTAGTAATTAGATAGATTTTCATCACAGTGGGAAGTAAAAGGCTTTGTTGGACATTGTGGGCAGACTGCTCTGTCATCTACAGTTTAAAATCCAAGAATGATTTTTTAATTTCATTTTAAGCAAACACAGATGGTAAGTCATATAAGTGCTCAAAGGATCGGACATTTCAGCATCTACTGGGCAGCTTTGGTTAAGAAAGACTGAAAGAAAGACCAGATGGAGCGCAAGGTGAGATTCTTGTCCATTATCAAATATCTGATTACAACTGGGCCAGTATTCTTAGTAGAATAATTTTAGTACTTGTCTTAAATGGGAATGTTTAATCTGAAGAGAAAGACAAAATTACTTGATCTTGCTTATTTTGTGATATATTTCATTTGCACACTTTACTGATGTGGGCACCTTATCCTGTAAACAACAGGAAAAAGATTTAAGTAGCCAATTCTATATTAAATTATTATTTAAATTGTTAGGTTATCACAACAGGACTTTTTATTTATTTATTGGTGTTTTGTTGTTGTTGTTTGGCAAGTGCAATTTCATTGCTTCTATTTCAATTTCCCCTTTGTACAGCGACCTACTGTACGAAATCCACTTTCTGTAAAAATCATTAAAGAATCCTGATTTGTTTTTGATTTTGTCTGAAGGCACTGTGTTAAGTTGGCTTTTTAATGGGTAAATTCTTGTTTTGGTGAGCTTTATTAAAAAATAATGGATGGCAAGACAGGATATCATACTAGCACATTTTTTAGAGTAAATTTGGTCTTTCTGAAATGTTGTTTTACCTTGCACATCTTTACTTAAAAATGAATTATCTGAGTATATTGATTGTAGTTGTATTGCAATGCATTGTAATTGTCTTGCAATGCTATAAAATGATTTTATGCCTCAAGCAATGTAGTTCAGAGAAAAGTTTAAACAATCTGAACAACTTGCTTAATTTCATAAACAAGCATGCTTGAGCAAAAACTCAGCTACTTAAAAAAAAAAGGCAAGAAGTGTAGAAACATATGTAACTGAGAGGGAATACATGAACTTGTGTTGTGGCAGACAGACCCGGTCTTGAGGTTGATTATGGCATCCTCCACTCCTTTCTGGTTGTAGTTGCCCATGTACTGGTGCATGTCTGGGTAGTTGGAGCGGATATTTTTTTCTGTGCTCCCATTGGGCACCGTGCCAAACTTCAAAGGTGGGTACTGCACCTCGGGATGCTGAAACTAGCAAAGGGAGGCGAGGGTGGGAGACGGAAGGGGCATGAGACACATCAGGCTGTGCACCAATCTGTCTGACCTATTTCTGTCCACTTTCCAGACTAACCTACAACAGTCCATGCACAGTCAATTCTTAGAGCGGTTGGCATAAAGTAGAACTGTCTTCTAAGTATTCAAGAACTGTAGCAATTGAGTTATGTTAAATGAGGTTTTATTCATTTCTAAATTCTTGTACTTTAATCAATTTAACATTCAAATGCATAG